GTTTTGGTACCTTGAGTAATTAAGGCGAAATTTGGTTAGCTTGTTGGATCCTTGTTCTCTATCTCCACCGCGATCATCGATATGGCGGTGCTAGCAACAACAATGATGTCGATGATCGCGGTGGTAATAGTGGTAAGTGTGTAGCAGTGAAGGTAGCAATGGTGGCATACATGGTTTTTGTTTTGTTTTTTGTGACATCCCACATCGTCCAGGGGAGTGATCCTTAAATGTATATTCCCATTCCTACCTAGCACGAGGCCTTTTGGGAGCTCACTGGCTTCGGGTTCCGTGGGAACTCCGAAGTTAAGCGAGAAGAGGGCTAGAGCAATCCCATGATGGGTGACCCACTGGGAAGTTGCTCGTGAGTTCCCAAAAACAAAACCGTGAGGGAATGGTAAGCCCAAAGCGGACAATATCGTGCTACGGTGGTGGAGCAGGCCCGGGAAGTGGTCCTACCCGGGCTGGGATGTGACAATTTGGTATCAGAGCCTAACCCTGGTTGCGTGTGTGCCGACGAGGACGTCGGGCCCCTAAGGGGGGTGGATTGTGACATCTCACATCGCCCAGGGGAATGATCCTTAAATGTATATTCCCATTCCTACCTAGCACGAGGCCTTTTGGGAGCTCACTGGCTTCGGGTTCCGTGGGAACTCCGAAGTTAAGCGAGAAGAGGGCTAGAGCAATCCCATGATGGGTGACCCACTGGGAAGTTGCTCGTGAGTTCCTAAAAACAAAACTGTGAGGGAATGATAAGCCCAAAGCCGACAATATCGTGCTACGGTGGTGGAGCGGGGCCCGGGAAGTGGTCCTACCCGGGCCGGGATGTGACATTTTTAATACTTTCACTTGTGAAAATTTAGATACAACAACCATTGACATGAAAAAAAAAAAAAAAAAAACAAAAACACCAAAACAAAGTTGGTGTGAAATAATAGAATTGGACCCCTATAGAAAAGGACCATCTTCGGATCCCTTCCACTTAATCCTCCTCATCAAACAATCCAGGTCCTTGAAATTTGATTCAACGGCTAAAGTTATTATAACTTTTAGAGTGGGCCTATGTTTTTAGCCATTGGATCATATTTCAAGAGTCCGGATTGTTTGATGAAGAAGATTAGGTGGAAGTGATCCAGAGAGGATCATTTTCCAACCCCTATATTTAGCATCTCTAATCAAAGAGTCATTTCACCACGTAAACTAAGTAGTAGAACTTGAAGGCATGATGAAACTCGATACCTTAGTTTGACATGAATTGACGTTAGGACTACTTGTTGCCAAATTTGATAGAAAACAAAGTGTTCATTTTATTTTTTTAATTCTTTATTATTATGAATATTTCTTTTAATTCTTTTCTTTTTAAAATCAAGTCTTACATTTACTATTGTTGCAGCAAAAAACATATAAGTGAAGAAAAAAAAAATTGACATTCTCACATAAGACCATCTTTAAAGGAGATGTCAAATTTTAAATATATAATTTAAATTTGATAGCCCATTTGACATTTTGACATCTCTTAAAGTTTTTCTCTCCACCAATATGTCAAATTTTAACTTAAAGGAAACAAACTAAAATGTATAAAAATATTTGAACAATGCATTGGTAATGAAAGGAAATGAAAAGGAAATGCTTTAAACCAATAAAAAAAATCAATAAAAAGCATTTAATATTTAATTAAAATTTATCTGAAGTTGTTTTCAAATTTGATAGCCACCACCTTTGCTGCCATTCCACGTCATGCCACACAAGAATTGGCATTTCGGTTGGCAAGCACTAATGTTGTCTTTTTTATTTTTATTTTTTTTATTGTTATAGCTGATGTGGACTTTTTTTCCAGTGTTATTTCTGATACGTACAAATCAGCACTAACAGTAAAAAAACGCATCAACAATGTTTTCCAACAAAAAAACTAAATCTAATGTGGCATGACATGGATTGACTGCAACTTCAAATCTTCTTTTAATGGATCATTAAATGCATATTATTATTGTTTTTGTAAAATCAATTTTTATAATAGTTTAATATATTGTTAAAAAAAAAAGTTTCAAAAAAAAAAAGTTTAATATAATAAAAAATAGTTTAATTTGACATGTCGGTTGAAGAGAAAAAGCTTTTGATCTTTTGAGTACACATCCTTATGGTCCTAGTAACGCATTATATGTGTTTATTTGCTTAAGTTCCAAGGGGTGTCAAACGCACGCTCGGTTATTTCATGAATGCTGAAAACAGTCCAAATACACTCAAAATAGAAACACTGTGTACTTTTGACACCCAATTAGCTTTTGATCTTTTGAGTGCTCATTCTTATGGTCCTAATAACACATTATATGTGTTTATTTGCTTATGTTCCAAAGGGTGTCAATCGCATGCTTGTTTTATCCTATGAATGCCAAAAACAATCTAAAGACACTCAAAATAGAGAAAACTGTGTACTTTTGACACCTAATAATTTTTTGATCTTTTGAGTACACATTCTTATGGTCCTAGTAGCCATTATATGTGTTGATTTGCTTAAGTTCCAAAGGAGTGTCAAACGCACGCCCGTTTTATCCCATGAATTTCAAAAACAGTCCAAACACACTCCAAATAGACAAACTGTGTACTTTTGACACCCAATAAGCTTTTGATCTTTTTTGTACTTATTATTGTCGTCCTAGTAGGGCATTATATGTGTTTATTTGCTTATATGCCGTTAAAAGATGTCAAATTGTTACATAGGCTGTAAAATTCAAATTTATGTTTAAAATTTACATCTTCTTTGAAAGAGTAATGCTAGGAAGACTAAATTTGTAGACAAAATTATGGAAACTAAAGGACATGGGAGTTAATGATTGGTTTATTATTTAAGCGTCGATAAACGTGCTCATTGTAATTGGTGACACATAATTTAATTTGCAAATTTAGTTTCCAAAATTTGACTCCCTAGCATTATCCCCGGCAATTTCTGACACGACCCGTTAACCTAACACGAAGCAACATGAAATTAACAGGTTTTCAGGTCAACACCATAACGAATTGAATCATTATCGGGTAACCCGATAAGCACATGTTAACATGACGGGTCGGTCCAAGTATACATGTCGGTATCCCATGACACGATAAGAAAAATATTAATTTAATAATTTTATACCACCAAAAAAACTGTACTTAACAGTAGTAGGATTTAATCTAGAACTGAGTTGAAAGTTTACACACACACACACACACACACACACACACACACACACACATATATATATATATGTTTTTTTTTTAAATTATATTTTAAAAATTGATGATTGTTGGATCGGCTGAGATTTAATCTTGGCCGTCCAATGTTTGTCTCAGGCTTAAATCAGACTTTCTTTCTTAGCCAGTACCTCTATCTCTCTCGATCTGAACTCTTGAATCTCAGTCTCGAACCTCAACTCTGGCCATCCATGAATCCATGACCACCCTCTCCAGTCTCCCTTCACCACACCACTGTCACCACATACGACCTAGTAACCTACTGCCAATCGATCTACTATGTTTGTCTCTGATTCTTTCTCTCTAGATTGAGCAAATCTCAAGCCCTAATTGAGGTAATAGTTGATTCTTTCGAACTACTTTCAAAATATAGGGTTTTGCTTCAAATTAGTTTTCGATTTAAGATTGGTTTCGATTCTTCAATTTGGGGTTTTTCGTTTCGAATTAGTTTTCAAAGTAAGATTTATGTGGCAATGTCTTATGTGCAAATTTAGAAAATAAAATATTTTTCTTAACGGATCATAACGAGTCGGGTCATTTTACCCGTTGGGTAAAATGACCTAGCCTGTTAAGAACCTGTTAAGATAATGGGTGTGACACGACACGATCTGTTAAGATAACAGGTGTTACACGAAAACGACATGAACACAACAAACACGACCTGTTTGCCAGGCTTACTTAGCATTGCCCTATTTGAAGATGTTATAAGCCCTTAAATTAATATTTGTTATTCATCTTTTGACATCTCTCATTTGGGGATAATGTGCTTGGTGAAAAGAAAAAAAAATAGAGAAAAAAAATAGAAAAAAAAAACGAAAAAGGAGAAAATTCATTAATAAATTAGTTGAGAGCAGTTTCGTCTTTTCGTTTCCCTCCATCACTGTATTAATGCCGCGTAATCCTTAGTAATTATTGTCGCTTCAACTCCGACCCCTTATTCTCTCTCTCTCTCTCTCTCTCTCTCTCTCTCTCTCTCTCGGTCTCTCTTTCTCAACCAACCAACAAAACCCCAACTCCTAAATCCATTTTCCTCTTTCCGATTTAATCCGAAATGCTGAAATCCCACTGCACCAACCTTTGAGCTTCGATTTCAAACGTTGATCACCGCATTTTAACAACCGCAAGGGTACCCAGTTTGCCATATCTTTTCTTCTTTTGTATGTTAATGTTCATGTTCATTTTTCATTTTTCATATCCTTGTGAGATTTGGCTCTCATATTTTTATTTTCTTCAACGCTGTATGCCTAGTTGTTTGTCAAAAGTACACGGAATAACCATATTAATATGTGAAATTATTTGTTTAGGTGGCGATCGAGGAAACGGATATTTCGTTGATTTGATCATTGTAAATCGTTTCTCCATTGATAATCAGCTCTATGCAAATCATTGCACCATGTTGTCAGGCTATCTTTCATTATGAAAACCTGGTGATGGTTAATATTTGTGATGATACGCGATGGTGACTTTTACGAAGACAGAAATTATGGATACCACCCGTCAAGGAATTTGTACGCAGTTTAGCAATTTGGAATTTAATGTCAAGTTCACTCTGGCATTTGTTCTGAAAGAAGAATTAGAAGATATGTCATGGAGGCCCAGAGAGTGTTCGTAGGTGCATCATGGGATGAATTTTAAAGATAGATTTATGTATTTGTTTTGAGCATTGTTTGGTTAAAGACATTTTGGAATTGTTATTTTCATCAAGGATTTAAAGCTGAAAGGCGATAGGGTGTTCATAGATAAGCTTTAGATGAAGTGGAACTTCTTTTGAGACCATGACTGGTGAGGTTCCTGGTACTTCTGGTCGACAGTTTTGCAGAGATACAACCAATGATGTTCGAAGTGACAGAAAAGTTGTTAACGAAAATGTGACTAATATTTGTCTACAGACCGGTGAGGAATTTTCAACGGAGTTTCTGCAGGATCGTATTGCACAAAGAAGATTAGCCCCTGTACTGACTGGCATTGATCTGCGCCAGTCGGAAAGGTTGGGTTCTAATATAAACCAAAACCCTAAACTGCTTTACGATGATCTTGGTGGCGTTATGGGGATGAAGAGAATAGATTCCGATTGCAGTTCAGAATTCTCGGATTTTAGTCCAGTTGCTCCAAAAGGTTATCTAGCTGACACAGAGAAAAATGTTTCTCCTAGTAACATGAGCAGATACCACTTGGAATATGGTGCCATGCGAAAAGCATCGAGTAAGTTTGCTGATCGGGTTATTCCAAGACCAACTACTCCACCTTTTTATGTTGTGGACTCCCCTCAATCATACACTCCTTATGGTCAAGTATTTGCTGAAGGTTCTTTCTCTTTCAAAATGAAATTTCTCTGTAGCTTTGGGGGAAGAATATTACCTCGGCCAAATGATGGGAAACTCCGATATGTAGGTGGAGATACACGGATTTTATCTATTCGTGAAGGCACCAATTTTGAGGAACTAATGAAGAAGACATTTGCAATTTGCAACCAACATCACACTATCAAGTACCAGCTTCCCGGTGAGGATCTTGATGCACTCGTATCTGTTTGTTCCGATGAGGACCTTCTTCATATGATAGAGGAATATCATGAGCTAGAGAGAACAGAGGGTTCTCAAAGACTGAGGCTCTTCCTTGTACCTTTAACTGAAACAGAGAGCCCAAGTTCTGTCGAGGCAAGGATTACACATCCAATCGGTGCTGACTGCGAATTTGTTTTCGCTGTTAATGGTATGTTAGACCCAAGTCCTCAGAAAAGCTCTAGCGAGCAAACTTTGGCCAGCCAGACTGGAAATCCATCAGATTATAGTCCAACCTTTCATAGAGACTCTCCTACCGGTGCATATTTTGAGACCAAAGATTATAGCCCTAATTCCTCAAGTGCAGTGGGCACATTACCTAAACCTGCTCCTCAGTTCTTATCTACTCTTCAGATCCCAAAGAATTCTTTTAATCAATCCCCTCCCATATCCCCGGTTCCACTTCAACACAGAGATCCCAAGAGTTCCAACGTGCAGCTTTATTTGGACCGATCATATTGTGACGGTAATGCAGGCATTGCTCCTTATGGTATGGAGAAATATCCATGTGACAATACCTATTATCTTGATGCGGGAAGTTATAACAATAATCTTCATCACGGGCCTCCATTGTTAAATCATCATCATCATAACCAATATTTGGCTGAAACTTATAGGGCTAAAAAGTCTCACATTGTGCACTCCCATAATCGTAGTTTTAGCGAAACTTTTGTGCCTTCTGCACAGTATGGCAAAAGTAGTATGGAATTTGAGAGACTTGTGATTCTGGAAAAGGCCCTCCATTCGGAAAAGTCTCTCTCTCGTCCTGAAGATAGAGATGGACTATCTTCAGGGTCCGGGGAAAGAGATGCTTCTTACCACAAAATAATGCATGCAGTACTTTCTGACTCTCAGTTGCAGGAACATGTTCAGAGGTCCACCGAAGGAGAAGTTATCCCAGTGTCGTCGCTGAAATACAGACTAGAAAAATCACCTTCGTTGAAGATACAAAGGTCCTCGCAAGAACGGCATGTGCAACAGGAAGTGATTCTTGATGGGAAACATCAAATTGCTAAACACGGTAATGAATTCACAATCAGGATACCTGACCAATGTAAAGAAGAACTAGGTTTGGAGATGTTGAACCAGACGGACAGGAATGACACTTGTGCTGATAAAAAATGGAAACACTTTGAAGGAAATGTTGAAGTTACATCAAATGATATTTTCATGGAATTTAAGAAGGAACAAAATGCGAACTGCCTTCTCAGTGATTGCTTAGCTATGAAACATTCACAATTCCCTAAAAGTGGGATTTTTGGTTCATCAAACCCCGAAACTAAAGGTTCTGAAGATACTACAGGCCCCCAAGGCTATGGATTTGACACAACTTCTCAGTTTTCTCTTAGGAGCCAAAATTGTACTAGAGATCAGCGGTGTGCTACAGTTGAGACAGTAAGCAGTCAAACAGTTTCTCATCAGTCACGTGAACTATTACCTGTTGCATCTCAGGAGTTCTTAGTCTCAACATCATCTGTAAGTACTCATCCCTTTGAGTTTATTTATTTATTGCTTTGAATCTCTGCCTCAAGTCTCCTGATATTTCTATGTCAACTGTTGGAACCTGTTTAGAAATTGGCTACAACTGCTGCACCAGACAGAGAATTTTCTCTCCATGATAAGGAGTCAATAAATTATCCTGAGTATTTTGTTGAAAGCATATATCTCAGCAGACAGTCTTCTGAAGTAACCAACTGTGAAGGTGTTATCCCTGCCCAATCACAGCCACTGGATAATCGGTATGACAACAAGGTGACGGACTCAGTGATTATTGTAGAAGACTTGACTAATAATACACCACCCGGTGTCCCTACCTCCAAAGTGGTCTATAACGTCTCACATATAGAAGATGAGGCCAGTGATGATTGTTCATCAACTGGAGAAACAGAGACCGGAAGTTCAGCTACAACATCTCATAACAAGGTAAGCTCCCTATTCAAATTTGAGCAATGATTTTGTGGAACTTTTCGATGGTAAACTTGAGCTCCTATTATAGGCTGAGACAGCTGACAGAAGTCATAGGCATGACACTATTAGCGATGTTGCAATAGCCGAAATGGAAGCAGGCATCTATGGTTTGCAGGTTGAGAACTACTATCTTGATTGATATATTCATGATCGGATGTTAATTCTCTACTCTCTACATATCATGAATGCTTAGTTTGTTTCTCTACCATGCAATTTTGTTTTTCGCATGACTCTCTTATACTATCTTTAATGTAAAATCATCTACCCTATATACAGATCATAAAGAATGATGATCTCGAAGAACTGCAAGAGTTAGGATCTGGTACATATGGAACTGTCTATCATGGAAAGTGGAGAGGAACAGATGTTGCAATTAAGAGGATAAAAAAGAGTTGTTTCTCCGGCAGATCATCAGAGCAAGATCGACTGGTTGGTCCCCAAAGTCATTAGTTTTCAAATTTCGGAATTTCATATCTAATTACAGTACATATTGGGATCATTTGAACTGTAAATTATATCATAATGTGCAGGCTATTCACAACCAAAAACTTGAGAAAACAATTCAATTATATACTAAATTTATGTTACAGCTTCCCAATGCCTCGAGATATACATACAAAATATCTTGGGGTTAAATGTAGATCCAACATTTTGAATATTTTCGCAATGAAAACGCAGATCCCTTGTTTTGACAGACTAAGGACTTCTGGAGAGAGGCAAAGATTCTGTCAACCCTTCACCATCCCAATGTTGTAGCATTCTATGGCGTGGTGCCTGATGGGCCTGAGGGGACGTTAGCAACTGTAGCTGAATTCATGGTGAATGGGTCGTTGAGGCATGTCCTAATAAGGAAAGATAGGTTAGTTGATCCATCTTTGTTTTGATCAATATATCCTCTGACATGAAAAAGATTTATGCAGTCTTCAAATTCTTCATGCAGAGTGCTTGACCGTCAAAAGAGGCTCATAATCTTAATGGACACAGCTTTTGGCATGGAGTATTTGCATTTGAAAAATATTGTTCACTTTGATTTGAAGTGTGACAATTTACTAGTTAATTTGAGGGATCCCGAACGGCCCATATGCAAGGTAATTTGTTCAATACAAAATGTAGCATACCCTTCTTGTCTTCTGTATTTTTTTATTTTTTTATTTTTATTTTTATTTTTTTATTTTTTATTTTTTGACAATGGATTCAGACATAATTACTAGTTTCGCTATGTTTTTCAATTAAAAGATATTAAGAAGTAGTTCTTTTAAAAACATTCCTTTTATTCACCAGGCCTCTTTGTACATGGAAGTTACTATACAGTTCTCCTTGGTGGTTATATGATGCTTTGCAGGTTGGAGATTTTGGTTTGTCAAGAATTAAGCGCAACACACTAGTATCTGGTGGTGTTAGAGGAACCCTTCCGTGGATGGCACCAGAACTATTAAATGGTAGCAGTAACCGGGTCTCTGAGAAGGTTAGGAACTTGGAATATCATTTTTATGAACGGGGATGAGCAAATCATGCCTAAAAATTTTAACCTGATCATGTGGGTGTTCATTCTTTGACAGGTTGATGTCTTCTCATTTGGTATTGTAATGTGGGAGATCCTGACTGGGGAGGAACCGTACGCTAACATGCACTGTGGTGCTATCATAGGTAAGTTTTTCTAGCATATTTTGCTTAAAGAGTTGTTTTATCTAAATTTATTCTTAAACGCGTTGAGAAACTTCATTCTGCCTAAATGTAGCATGAAAAACGTATGATTTCAGCATCCCTACATAAACTGTTACCTTCCACTTTGAAACTTGATTTGTTATTGTTTTATCTGAATTACTGAATTTCTATTTTCATCAACTTCCACTGAAGGGGGAATTGTAAGTAACACACTGAGGCCTTCTATTCCAAAGCGTTGTGATTCTGAATGGAAAAAACTAATGGAACAGTGCTGGTCGGCGGATCCTGCTGATCGTCCATCATTCACAGAGATAACACATAGGCTGCGTGACATGTCAATGGCACTCCAGAAAAAGCGGCCCAGTCTTGCAAGTAGATGAAACGTAAAATCGCATGTAAATCAGACTCACTAACATAGAAATAGTTTCGGCATAATACAATCACTATACTTTATGGGAAATAAGTTCATTCGCGCTCAAAGAGCACTCTTACATTTAGGTACTTTTATGTTTAAATTTACTCACATTTTCCCACATCACTTTATGACTTCGTCACCTTCCAGGTGTCAGCAGCATAACTTGATTCGGAGTCCAAGTGGACATTCCGGGTCGGAGTGTGTCACATTCCTCTACACAATTCTACAAACACATCTCTCTTTTCTCTCTTGATCGCCAGCCCCCTTCCCCTTGTCAGATAAAATAGGCTACAACATATTGAAGCACTTTAATATTTTATTAATTTTACAAAAAATTATCCAAAATTTGAAGCCTCTCTCTACTTGGTTCCCTGTAAATGGATAAATCCGTAGCAAGGGTTTTCAAACCATTGAAAACTAGTGTGTGCTATTAGGTGACAAGTGAAGCTTAATCATTTGAATATTAGGACTAGTTAGTAATTTTCACACCATTTACCAAATAATATTGTTCACAAATATAAACTTAACAATTATTCATATTTTCAAATTCATTTACTTACACAAAAAAATTAAATAAATAAATAAAAAATAAATAAAAAGAAAGAGTAAATTACATTTTACCACCTCAGGTTGGGGGTCGATTTCAATTCCTTATAACATCTTTAAAACATTTCAATTTCATACATTTACTTATCATTTTATTTCAATTTCATATATCCATTAGAAAATCCATTAGGCAAACCGTTAAGTGATGACGTGGCAAATATGTGATCCACATTTGTGCTGATGTGACTGCCAAATTTATGTCACGTGGCAAAAATAATAATTTTTATGCATTTAAAATATTATAATAATTTACCCTATTAAAAAAAATAAAAAAATAAAAAATAAAACTCCATCTTTTTCCTCGAGCCCTTCCCTTTCCCTGCAACCCAAACACCCCATCCCCAGCCATCCACCTCCCCCGCAACCCACCACCCCCACTCCACCTCCCCCGCAACCTCCCCACCCCACCCCACCCAAAACCCCAAAAAACCCAATTGTTCAACCCGTAGCCATGGCCAGTGAAATCAAGTTGAAGATGAATAATCGAAGTTCAAACTGCTTTTGCCACCTCCATATGCTCCCGCAGCCTAACACCATCTTCAAACCCAGCAAAACGCAGTAGCAATCCCGGGCTCACGACAGTTGGCCAGTCTCTTGCACCGTTTGATTTGAAGGTTAAACAATTAGGGTTTAAAGGCTGGGCTTAGTCATGGATGAAGGCACGAAGACAGAGAGGATGGTCGTTGGTGGATGGAGCCGATGATGAAGATGAGAGAATGGAGAGTGGGTGCGAGTTATAGAGGAGAGCAGGGTGGGTGGGTTGCAGATGAAAGAAGGGAGAAAAAGGGTGGGGATGATGAGGTAGAAGATCGGTGGGTTTTGGGGTAGGGTGAGGGGGGGTTGCAGAGGAGGTGGGGGTGGGGTGGGATGAGGTGTTTGGGTTGTAGGGAAGGGAAAGTGTAACATCCCACATCGCCCAGGGGAGTGGATCCTCTAAGCCTTATATGTATATTCTCATCTCTACCTAGCATAAAGCCTCTTGGGAGCTCACTGGCTTTGGGTTCCATTGGAACTCTGAAGTTAAGCGAGTTCGCATGAGAGCAATCCTAGGATAAGTGACCCACTGGGAAGTTCTCTTGTGAGTTCCTAGAAACAAAATCGTGAGGGCGTGGTCGGGGCCTAAAGCGGACAATATCGTGCTACGGTGGAGTCGAGCCCGGAATATGGTAGGGGCCTGGGCCGGGATGTGACAATTTGGTATCAGAGCCAATCCCTGGCCCAAAGTATGTCGATGAGGACGTCGGGCCCTTAAGAAAGGGTGGATTATAACATCCCACATCGCCTAGGAGAGTGGATCTTCTAAACCTTATATGTATATTCTCATCTCTACCTAGCACGAGGCCTTTTGGGAGCTCACTGGCTTCGAGTTCCATCGGAACTCCGAAGTTAAGCGAGAAAAGGGCGAGAGCATTCCCAGGATGGGTGACCCACTAGGAAGTTCTCATGTGAGTTCCCAGAAACAAAACCGTAACCGTGAGGGCATGGTCAGTGCCCAAAGTGGACAATATCGTGCTATGGTGGAGTCGAGTTCGGGATGTGGTGGGGGCCCGGGCAGGGATGTGACAATTTGGTATCAGAGCCAATCCCTGGCCGGAAGTGTGCTAACGAAGATGTCGAGCCTCTAAGGGGGTTGGATTGTAACATCCCACATCGCCCAGGGGAGTGAATCCTCTAAGCCTTATATGTATATTCTCATCTCTACCTTGCACGAGGCATTTTGGGAGCTCACTGGCTTCGGGTTCCATTGGAACTCTGAAGTTAAGCGAGTTCGGGCGAGAGCAATCCTAGGATAAGTGACCCACTGGGAAGTTCTCTTGTGAGTTCCTAGAAACAAAACCATGAGGGCGTGGTCGGGGACCAAAGCTAACAATATCGTGCTACGGTGGAGTCGAACCTGGGATATGGTGGGGGCCCGGGCCAGGATGTGACAATTTGGTATCAAAGTCAATCCCTAGCTGGAAGTGTGCCGACAAGGACATTGGGCCCCTAAGGGGGTGGATTGTAACATCCCACATCGCCCAGGGAGTGGTTCCCCTAAGCCTTATATGTATATTGTCATCTCTACCTAGCACGAGGTTTTTTGGGAGCTCACTGGCTTCGGGTTCCATCGAAACTCTGAAGTTAAGTGAGAAAGGAGGGGCGAGAGCATTCCCAGGATGGGTGACCCACTAGGAAGTTCTCATGTGAGTTCCCAAAAACAAAATCGTGAGGGAATGGTCGAGGCCCAAAGCAGACAATATCGTGCTACGATGGAGTCGAGCCCAAGATGTGACAGGAAGGGCTCGGGGAAGAATATGAGTTTTCTTTTTTTTTAATTTTTTTTTAAATAGGGTAAATTATTATAATATTTTTAATGCATAAAAATTTATTTTTTTTACCACGTGGCACAAATTTGGCAACCACGTCAGTACAAATGTGGATCTCATATTTGCCACATCATCGCTTAACGGTTTAATTAACAAAATTTCTAACGGATGTATGAAATTGAAATAAAATGATAAGTAAATGTATGAAATTGAAATGTTTTAAAGATGTTGTAAGGAATTGAAATCGACCCCAAACCTGAGGGGTTAAAATGTAATTTAGCAAAAAAAAAAAAAAGAGGTAGAATGATGGAGAATCCATGATTCCATCCCTAGTGGCTATTTAGGAAAATATTTTTGCTCACCACCATCAAGTCATGACGAAGCTCTCCATTCTATTTATCCCCGTTAGATGAATTTAAATTTTAAAATTTGTGTAGTGAATAGACAAAAATCTCAAAATTTAAACTCATTCAACAGTAATAAATAAGGTAGGGGACATCACGATTTAGGATTTAGGGCACTAAGGCGCTAGTCGGCGACGGGTAAGAGCCTAGCGCCTAGATTGTGTGATCTTCCATTTACAAAAAAAAAAAAAAAAAAAAAAGGTATGTATGAAAAGACTAACGACCAGTTTGGGATTGTTGCGCATTTTAAAAAACATGTTTTTACTATGCTTTAAGAATAATCAGCTGTAAAGTAAAGTAGCATTGTAGAAGTATTTGGTAAATTTCAAGATTAAAGTGATATAATTGTAGATAATGGCAAAAATAAACAGGGTAGCGGGAATATAGGCGAATTCAATGGTGAGAGCAATGGTGGTGGTGATGGCAATGGTGGTGGCGGCAATGGTGATGGTAAGGACAAAGGTGAAGGTTGGTGTAAACGACAAACGTTTTTTGAGGTTTTCTTTTAATTCACTTTGTTGGTATATAACCAAACTGAATCGGCAAAATTTGTGATTACGGTACCACCAGGTGGCATTGCTGAGTGGTAGTACATCTCCACTCAAATTTTGCCATGTGTACATTAATACACATAAACTTCTGCGGTTAATTCTGAAGTTACAAACCCTAAACAAGGTGGTTAACCACAATATGGCCGACGCTACCCAAAAGTTTGTGATACGACCCAATTCTCAATTCCCTTAATCAACCTACAAGTAGCACAAGAAAGCTATGGAAGAAGAGGGAAGAAGAGATGGAAGGAGCAGAGCTCCAGATATATTTGTATTTAATTTATTTCTTGTCAATTCTGATCTGCCACAATTCAGAGAGCTGACTGACGAACTGACGATGGCGTGACTGGTAGGTGCTTTACGTTCGGATCTGCAATTTCTCTGCAATAATGTTTTCTATAAGTGTATAATTAAGGAAGACATCAAGAAGATGGGATAAATCTCAAATCCAGTTAATCGGAGTGGCCATAAAGATTAATTAACCCCAGAACAAAAGAAAACCCTTTAACGTAGTGTTAAACGGCAGAATTTTAAGTTTGTTGATGATTGGTATTACTGTATCGCTTAATAATTTCTCAAGATTCTAATGCTGTCGAATTAAATTGCTTGTAAATGAAGTTTCTTCTTATTCACAAGATTCTAATGCTACGGGCTCCACCTCTGGTACCACAATGAATGAAACAAGTAAAAGGGCAAACATATTTTTAACCTTGATTATTCATTTGTTATACTCATACATGCAGCCATTCCTTGTCCAAAATTATACACTCTTCCATGCTATTAATACAAAGCATGCAATAACGTGATGGGGAAACATGTGTAAAATCTCTGTTCTCTACAAAATCAGCAAGCTAACTGATCTCTAAGCGACGATATCTCTTCAAATATAGCTAGTCTCCTCGACCTTTGAGGAGTCCACTGCTTCACCAAGTGGTCAAGCCCCTCGAGAAAGGCATCTTCCATATTTAAACTTAACGAATTGGGAGGCAAAACTACACGTTGACATTGCTCTAGCTCCTGCACCAGTTCCTCGGCACGAACTTTTGACTTGGGCTCATCAGATCCCGGAAGCATGCCCTTCAACACATGGTCAACAACTGATTGCGCCTCCGCATACCTTCTTTGCTTGATCAGGCACAGGCATAAGTTGCAGGCCTTGTTTGCATCCGGGTCAATGATTTGGGCTTTACGATACACCACTTCTGCAGCCGCATGGTTCCCTTGTTGCATGTATGCCCAACCTAAGTTGCCCTGCTCACACATCTCTAAAGTAAGAACTCTGAGATATGGTGACATTAAAAAAGGCAAATGCTTGGTTGGAGGACATTTTTCAGAGGTTTAGAAGCAGCACTATCAATCTTCACAAATTTTTATTTGGAGAAACAGAGAAGAGAATGATGCTGAAAAGCTTTGAAGTCAGCTGCCTTTATGTATATTTTTAAGTGGGGCTGCTAAGGTAATCTTCTGAGAAAGCTTGTTTTCTGAAGAATATAACAGCCATTGATTAACTCAAAGGTGAATCTTATTGTTGGGAAAACATGCTAAACAACCCAAGGAGTTTTCGGTTAGCAACCAGAGTAATGTCGAAATCACAACTGTACTGGAAATATTACCGGCAATTAATTTTAGAATTTTCAGATTCTAAAGAAACCTAGAGAGAAACTGTGTTGTACTGAGACTCTTTTAACACTAGAGAAAGCTGAACGAGAAGTGCAATAAGATCCCAAAAGGACAACATTTTTAATAAGGTCACTCACAAGCACTCTGCAATCTAATATAGTAATGAAGAGAAAATAAATTCCCGCAACTTAGTACTGACCAGTATCCTGGAGGTTTCTTGCTTGATTGTGACTTGGAATTTCCTTCCATGAGAGCGCGCTGTCTTGGTGTGCTTGCCATTGAAGGCCTCTCCCTGGAAAATCATCCGAAGCTTCTGTTTTAATAGCTCTATTTGTTCCTCAACTCTTCCACATTTCTGCCAAATTTGTATATATCGTGAGAAACATATTTCAATATAGAGGCAAAAAAAGCAGGATTAAAATTCATATTATGGTCAGAAGGAGTGTTAGGTGATGCCACCTACTGTTTGGCCTCAAGTTTTGAGTAAATAAGAAAGCAAAAAGGAAAGAAAAGTGCGCCTGGTTTGGCAGCATGAGTGTTCTTCAAAAAGCTGGGGTGATCGATTTGAAGGCATCGCCAAGATTGACAATTAATCGAAAAAAAAAAAAAACATTCAACACTTGTTGGAATTTATGGTGCGTCGAGATTCATGATATCAAACAGACCCATTTTCTATGTACAAAAATAGACATTCATCAGATGCCAGATACGGTAACAAAACAGTCCGCCTCAAAGTTGCTGATATAACATCCATTTAGAGTAAGCTTGCATATTTACCTTATACAAGTCGATTAGTACATTGTCAAGGGATTCCTGTGCTTGCCTGGAGCACCGATCCCTGAAAGACTTTATTGCTTCAATTGCTTCTTTTGCTCTATCCTGTTGCTTCATGACCACTGCCATGTCTTTGAGGGAACTATCCACCCTATCACCGGCATTTATTGCCTTCCAGAACAGTACAATAGCCGCTTCGGGATCTTTCTGAACTAACTGCATTTGCACAAAGAAGACAATGAACAAAACAATATTAGCTAAATAGCAGATCGTCTAACAGCGGTTACCACTCTCAGATTAACCAACGGATTAAAATACCATACTCTGTAATCCACAATCAAAATTCAAACCAATACAATTTCATAATACCAAATTACCAATGGAAAAAGATAATTCAGAAAGGGAATTGTTATTAGCACTCCAAAAATCTCATTCTACACTCCAAATTTTCTATATTAAGCAAGAGAAATACACTTACGAGGGGTGTAGAATGAGATTTTTGGAGTTCCGATAACACCTCCCTTCAGAAAAGAAAATCAATATTCTTGATTCCCCCATAACTGTGGTAGATTGGAGCGTTTTCTTTTAAGATAATGCTTGGAAGACCAAATTTTTTAAAACCAAATGATGTGTCACTGCTAAGAAACAAGACTTACATTTCCCAGAATTCATTCCCTCAACTTAAGGGATTCGAACTTGGCTGTGGAGGTTGAGCACACTCACTAAAAGTTCAACGTTTTTCCATTTTAGTAATATAAAGATTTTAAGAAAGCCATAACTGAGGATTTCCGAGAATTTATTATCCAGAAAATTACCAAATATAATGTGAGATGTTCAATGAAACTGGAAATTTATTAATTCATCAAATCCCAAACAAAATTAAATTGAAATCAACTAACGAGTAATTAAATAAGCGTATGATTAATTCATCTATACATCCTAAAAATACAGAAGTAGGTATAATTGTATGAAGAGAGAAGACCTGGACGTGCTTGGCTCTGACGTAAGGGCTGTCACCAGGAGGCAGCTTGTGAAGAACATGGTAAGGAGGAGGCTGCTGCTGCTGCTGCACCTGATCAGTCCTCTCTCCATTCCTTGGGCTCGTCATCTTCTGCCGGCAGCTGGTGAGTTTTTGTTCATAAACTTGGACAACTTTTAGTCTTCCAGTTCTTTCATTCTCTACGAATGATATAATAATATCATATGGTTAGGAAAGGGAATGGGAAGGAAGGTGGCCTGGATTGCGTCCAGGTTCGTGGTGGATGGGTGGGGACATGTTCTCTTGCCAAGTAATCAGTTTGGAAGCGTGCACTTGGCCTCAAGCGAGCAATGGGGCGAATCTGACGACGTCCCATTCTCCCTGCCATCACGCATATCATAAATATATGCCTTTTGTTATTCATACAAGTCGTGAATGAGACCAACCCCATTTAAGAGGTGACAAATATCGTTCAAACAAAAAATTCAAAAGCTAATTGGTTATTTTTGCTATTTTAACGAGTTACTTTATTAATGTGTGAGGGAGTAATTTGGAGTTAAAGTGTACGAAGGCAAGCAATATTTCCAGCCGGTTCAATGGTAGTGGGCCAAATCCCTATGTTTTGTATTGGCGTTATTCATATAACTTGTTTAGTCCATGTAATTTGTGCGTCAAATTTAAAAGAATTTAGTGTACATGATCTTGCCATTTACCCAAAACAAAAACAACCAATTTTATTCTTTGTTCCTTTTGAGTCTTAACAATGACCAAATTTTGAATTGTCCACTAGAGTAATCTATCGCTTATGCAACAAAATTAATCATTAGGTTGTAAACCCTCGGAATATTTCGAAATATTTGTGGGCTTTATTTTTCTTTAGTTATGCTTTTCTAAGGTGTCTACAGTTGCCTAATCAACAAAGAAAAGATAAAATCTGACCAAATGGGAAACGAGTTGAAGAAAAAAAAAAAAAAAAAAAAAGAAAGGAGTTAAAAGAAAAGATAAGTCTATATATGTTCTTTAGGAGCAACTCCAGCGTGTGAAACCTCCTCCCAAGCAATACACTATGCTATCCACCTGGTGAATAATAACTGCCCTTAAGGAATAGTAATCGTCTTTTGCATTCCACCGTTACACTTCAATAGCCCTGGCAATAGGTAATAAAATATTAGTATTTTTTATTTATAAAATAATACAAAATAATTTTAATTGTAATTTCGGATAAGATTTTTAATCGTTCTCGTTGCGCCACGTGTCATTATCCAAAATATTATTAAATAATATAAAATAATTTTATTTATAATTTCGGATAAGATTTTTAATCTTTCTCGTTGCGCCACTTGTCATAAAATCCGAAAAGACAATTATTAGGGATGGATTTCCGATAAGATTTTTAATCGTACTCGTTGCGCCACGTGTCATTATCCGAAAATACAATTATTGGTGAAGGATTTATGATAAGATTATTAACCAATCACGTCGCGCCACGTGTCATAATCTGTTTACACTCTTTGAGGATAGATTTCCATTAGATTTTTAACGAATCACGGCATGTCACGTGTCATTATCCGAAAATACAATTATTGTTGATGGATTTCTAATAAGATTATTAACCAATCACGTCGTGCCATGTGTCATAATCTGTTTACAATCTTTAAGGATAGATTTCCATCAGATTTTTAACGAATGACGGCATGCCACGTGGCATTGTCTACAACCTAATCCTTTCTGAATCCTCCATATAATCCACCATCCATCCTCACAAATCTCACACCAATTTTCTCAAGATCTCTATCATTATTCATAGTTTCTGCTTCCTTTTTCACAAAAAATCTCTATCATTATTCATAGTTTCTGCTTCTTTCTTAGAATGTCTTCTTCTTCCTGAAGCATGATGTGGGAACTCGATCAGGAAGAAGAAGAATTGTTTAACCAATCAGAAGGAATGTTCAATCTCCAAGTGGCAAAAAATAAGAGGGAATAGGGAGGAGCGTAGAAGGAGAGATGACGAAGCAAGAATGGGCAGAGCCTTACATTCCCGTAGAGTCATCCAAGCTATGGTTCAGATCTGTAGGCCCAGCCGTTCCGGAAAACTTGATAGAAGCAGGCAACGACGAGGTACGAAACTCTTGGACGATTATTTTGTCCGTAATAGTGCATTCCCTGATACGTACTTTAGACGTCGTTTTAGAATGGAACAACATTTGTTCAACAAAATCATGATTGCTGTTTGCAACCATTATTCTTACTTTGTGCAAAAGAATGATGCTTTTAGTGCTATGGGTCTCCTTCCTTAGCAAAAAATTACTGCTACCTTACTGATGCTTGCATATAGAGCATTTGCAGACCAAGTGGATGAAATAACAAGGATGGGGAAATCAACCATTCTTGAGTCCCTGATGAGGTTTTGCGAAGCAATCGAATCTATCAACACCGCAAAGTACCTTCAGAAACCTACAAATATGGACTTGAAAAGGCTTCTGAAGAAGGCCGAGATGCATGGTTTTCCTAGGATGATTGGAAGTATATGCACTGGACGTGGAAAAATTGTCCAAGTGCATGGCAAGGCGCTTATGAGGACAGAAAATGGGCAAAAAGTATCATTTTGGAAGCAGCGGCATCTTTTGATACATGGATTTGGCATGCCTTTTTCGGGGTTCCGGGAGCTCAAAATGACCTTAACGTCCTTGCCCAATCCCCAGTGCTCAACGATGTCCTGCAAGGAAAGGCACCAAAAGTCACGTATGAGGTCAACGGACGTATGTAGGACGAGCCATACTACCAAGCTGACGGCATTTACCCAATGTGGTCAACATTTGTCAAAATAGTGCCACGTCCGCGAAGTGCAAAGGAAAAACACTTTGCAAGCTATCAAGAGGGATACAGGAAGGATGTGGAGCGTTGTTTCGATATCCTCCAAGCTCGCTGAGCGATCATCAGGGGTGCTGCCAGATTGTTTGATGTAGAGTTGCTTCGATCCATCATGATGACGTGCATCATTCTTCACAACATGATTATGGAAGATGAGTACAATTATGAAGCCGTTGATGAATATGAGCCAGACACGATGAACAATTCAAGAACACGTATATATTGTGCTCATAACGCCACTGATGAGCCCGTGCAACATGAGTCATTACAAAGGGATGGACGTTACAATGAAAGAGACATTCAACGATATATTGCATTTCAAATGCCAAACATGCACAATGCCTGGCAAAATGACTTGATAGAGCACCGGTGGGTATTGAAACAAGCTGAAGATAATTAAGTTCATTAAGTGTGTTTTTTATTATTTGGTATATTTATGTAATTTTATTTGGTGTGTTTTATTATTTGGTATGTTTATGTAATTTTTTTTAGTTCAGCTTTAGTGAGTTTTATATTATAACCCAAAGTGATTGGAAAATTATGGGCTCCAATTACAAAAACTACTATATTCATCATCACTTAACCAATTTGTGGTGCTAGGATGATCTTCTCTTGTGGTGCTAGGACCATTTTGGCTTGCTCTCGCTTCTCTTGCACGCCTCCTTCGCACCACGTCCACTTTCTCTGACTTCCAAAAAAAATTTAGAATTTGGAGACTTCCCTTCTAAAGGCATGTTCATAATCTCACAATCTCGTTGAGCCTGTCTTTCTTCTCTAACATGTTTCCTTTCTTGCCTAAGTAGCTCTCTTTCTCTCTCATTAGCCTGAAATTCTCTCTCAATAGCTGCAGCTTTTGCGTCCTCTCTAGCCTTATCAACCTCATATTTCGCCATTTCCCTCGCTAAAGTCAATTCACCTTGGCAAGCAAGTTCTTCCATGAACTTTGCATAATCATTCTTGGAAGCATTCCCTTTTCTCTTTGAAGTCTTCTTACCTTGAGGCTTAATTCGATAACGGGTCGAACCCAACGCTTGTTCAGGAAGAGGCGTTTCAGGCACTTCTTCTGCATCATCTTCATGAACATGCAAGCCATGATCGGGTGTAGAGTGTAGAGGGGTGCTGTTCATGAAAACTTCTAGACCGACAGGCACAACTCTAAATTTAGGACAATCGTTGACAATATTCCAACATTCCCACCGGTTGAATGATTTATTTTTGCTTTTGGTTTTTTGCACCGTACCAAGCTTGTGCTTGAAGTTCCGACACAATGCGGGAGAAGAAATAATTATAATGAAAATAGGTAACAAATAAATAATTATAATGTAAGTAGGTAACAAAATAAATAATACAAACAAATAATTATAATGTAAATTTGGATATAGTACAAACAAATAAATAATATATTGTTACCTGATCCGAGTAATTTTCCCCACTTGGAATATTAGTACTAGCTTGTGCCAAGGTGTCTCTCCACGTACTAATCGATTGGCTAAGTAATTTCCAACGACTAGACATCGATTCTTTGGTTTTCCCACTAATTTTCTCAAGATAATTGGTATGAATAAGACTCCACATTTCTCGCAACTGCATCTCATTACCCGTAAGCGAACTATGAGTAACTTCAACCCAGCTAGTACACAACGCAACATCTTCAAGAAGCGACCAATTCGTACCTGCATCAGTAGTCATTTTGTTGAAAAAAATGGACTGAAACTTTGAGCGAAAGAAAGGAATGTGATTGAAGGTAGTTAAGAAAATATGAAATTGTGGTGTAAGGTAGATGATAATGAGAAGGTATTTATAAAAAAGTATAAACAATTTTTTTTTTTAAATTTCAGATTTTTTTTCGAATTTTTTACAATTTTTTTTAAATTTTTATTCAACTATAATCTCTGCCATTAGATATAAAAAAATTTTGAATTCCAACACTCTAGATTGTGCCGCATGTCACAACGGTAACTTTTCTTAATTTTAAAACTATTTTTCCTTTTATTTTTTTATTTATAAAGCAGATTAATATCAACAGTCAATCTCAGATCGAATGGTTGATACTAAATAAATTTTTGTTTTTTTTTTACCGTTGAGATCGAACAAGTTAAAAAGTCATTGAGATCGAACAGACCGTGGGAAGCCACGTGGCTTCCAACGGTAACATTTTAGTTTGAAAAGTGGGCTGACTTTTCTGAAAATATGTCGGGCGACGCGCCCCCACAGACGAGTGGGGTGCACGCGCCTAACGAAAAAAAATAAAAAAAAGGCTTGACACCAGGCTGACGTCAGCCCTGGCGTCACATACACTCGGACTCTCGGGCTGGCAATTCTTCACAGGCC